TAAAATTCAGTAACTTTGTCGGTAGTCGGTTAAAATTTTCGATCTTTGTCAATAGCCGTTTAAACTTTTCGATTTTCGTCGGTTGTCGGAAAATCTCAGTTAATAAGTAAAAACGCTTGTTAATTATTAATATTTTTTATGTATTTCACCCACTTTTGAAGACTTTGATCCCTAAGGAAATAGTAAAACTTGTAAGAATGCATCATTTGATTGCACCAAAACCTTTCATTAACTCTTGTTTGTTTATGCAACATGATCGTTTATTTCCATTGTTAATGCCAAATAAATATACTACTGATAAAATCACCAAAGCTTTTATTGTAAATGCGAACTTGGTTTCCCTGTCGACTACGGGGCACAGTAAAAAAGTAATTGATTAATTAATAAATGGACTCTAGCCTTTTGGATGCTTAAATTATTTTTAGTGAAAAACTGCAAGGGATGACAGGCTGCACATCTATCCCTCTTATGTTTTGGCTCTAACAAGCATGTCCTTTGTCATAATTTTCCTTTCTCAAAGAAATAGCACTTCAGGTGGTTCTTTAAAATGTTGGCAAGGTAGTGGCTGGTTTTGTAGGAGATTCCACTTTTTCATCAAAGCTTCTTTTATAATAGACACTAAGGGCTGGTATTGTGCCACGAAAGGCAATATTTCTTTTTCTTTCATGTTGTTTTGTTTCAGGAGAGCTGCCTTCCTTCCTGTGAGTTTTACTGCTAATAGCAATTTTTCTTTCTAAATTGTGTGGCCAGCCTCTGTCCATCAGCCGCTTTTGAAATCTGAAATACTTCCTCAGAGGAGTTTGTTCGTAGGATTTTCAAGGCTTCTCGTTTTTCAAACAGGCGCTTTAACAACTGCTGGGTGATAAGAGGTGAAAATGTATATACTGTAAGGTTTCCATTTGAAATGCGTCTTTACGTCAAGGATAGCTTTTTCTCATTTTTTTGCTGACTGTTGTGCCTTAGTATACAACTGTTTCTAAAAAGAATGTTCGGTTTTTTCGCCTTTGACTTTTCAGTAAAATTTATATATATAGCGTCGGTAGCATCTTTAAGGTGTGACTTTGTGATTTTGATAATGGCTGTAGCAATGTACCTGTATCAAAAAAAAAAAAGGGAAATTGTTTCCCTTAGGCCATCTGAAGAGTCATAAATTTAAAGAGGTTACTTCCTAACGGCTAGAAAACAAAAATGCAAAATGCTTTTTTTTCTGGAAACAAATATTGATAATATCAGCCCATGTCGGTAGTCAGTAATATTTTTCGCCCTTTGTCGCTAGTTGGTTAACCCCATTCACACCCTCAAACAATAAACCATTACAATAGTCAAGACGGCTGGTTATAAAAGCATGAACCAAAGTAATTAAAGAATCTCTCGACAGGTATTTCTTAATACGTCTCAAGTTAAGGAAATGATAAAATGCCGCATTACAAGCCTTGTTTATATAATGAGTCATGCTTAAGTTGCTGTCAAACCACGATCCAAGATTTTTAACACATGGGCTTTGATTGATACGATTATTGCCCACAGTAATGGAACACGAATCTAGTTTATCAAGCTGTTGTCGTGTGTCGACCAACAAAAACTCCGTTTTATCATCATTGATCATCAACCGATCTTGAATCATCCATTTCCTCACCGCGTCAATGCACTTTTCCATTGCTTGAATAGCATCAGCTTGAGCAGTGTTGCCGAGTGGTTTAAAACTCAGATACAGCTGCGTATCATCTGCGAAACAGTGAGCATCGGGAAGATAATGTATCGGTCAAATCGAAGCTTCAACATGCCCCCCCGGGCAACCCCCCTGGCATTTGACTTTTTTGAAAATTATTGTTCAAATTTCCCCCTACCTGGGCCAAAATGCCGTTCAAATGCCCCACACTAGTGTCCATTCAGGTGATCAAATGCCCCCACCCCGGGAACATTTCACATGCACAAAAATGACAGAAAGACGGTGGAAACGCCTTCAGTTGTCGAACAAAATCTTTATAAATATATAAAAAAAAAAACTGAGAAACAGTGTTAGCATATTTACTACGAACAAAAGTCTCGTGCAAAGCGGCTGAAATCGCTGCTACAAGGTAACAGAATGCTCAGCTTTTTTTCGTCATGCAACATACAAAGCGTTCTATAAAAAAAGATCCCACCTATTGAGATTACTACACCATGACCATTTCACTGACATGCATCATTGCTCACCTTATTAATTAACATACTTGCAGTAGGTCAAAGTAGTTGACCTGAGCTTTTTATTTTATTTTATGTTGTTGTATTGAATCGCCGGTATAGGTATTGTATTTCATTGTAAACACAACAATAAAATACATTCATACATTCAAAGCCTGAATCCAATAATAAAAATTTTAAAATTTAAATACTTCAAGTACGGCACAAAGCTTGTTTAAGCCCTTTCGTCGTAACCAACTGGCCACAAAGGCACAATCTTTTCCACGAAAATCCTCTAACACCGCGTCCCCGAGTATAGCTCGCCACGCCAAAGATTTTTCATGAAATCGAGGGTGCAGTTCAAATCCCCCACCCCTATAGGATGGCGATCAAATTCCCCACCCCCTGGAAGACTCTCATAATCAAATTCCCTCCTCCCCGGGACGGCAAAGGTGACAAATGCCCGGGGTATACCCGGGGGGGGCATGTTGAAGCTTCGATTTGACCGATACATAATGTTCCACGATCTTAAACAGCTTGGACGCATATATTATGAATAGCAAAGTCCCTAAACATGAGCCTTGGGGTACCCCGCAGTTCAAGTCAAAAGGACGAGAAGGAACTCCATGTACAGAAACGCGCTGACTTCTATCAGACAAGTACGATGTAAACCAATTCAGAGCAGTCCCGAGTATGCCAACCTCGTTAGATAGCCTCCCTAAAAGTATTCGATGATCAACAGTGTCAAAGGCAGCACTGAGATCCAATAAAATTAACATAGTGACATGTTGAGAGTTCATCTTTAACAAAATATCGTTCATCACCTTGATAAGTACAGTTTCAGTGCTATGGAATTGCCCTTAAGAAGATTGAAGCGCAGGACAAATAGCATTTGAAACCATGTGATCGTAAACTTGATTAAAAACGACTTTTTCAGTCAACTTGGATACGTATTGTAAGTTGATCTTTGGTGCCTCTTTTGTATTTGCAGGTGTGTTATCAAACCTTCTTTTTACGCTTTGATCAATTAGATAATGGTCCACGCAGTCTGATGGCAGTCTTTGCTGTTTGAATTTTACAGCCAACGCAGCTATCAAGCGTATCCCCCAAGATCCCATTAATGAATTTATCATTTGAAGTTTGAATCCGTAGGAGGTTGTAGATTTCAGATCTAGAATGCGTAATGAGCCGTGAATTCTCACGCGATTCAGTTACGAATTTCTACCAGCTCATTTTCTCTGAATTTGATGTAAATGTCTTCTAAAAATATTGTATCCATTCAAAGATTTTCAATCTGACCAATACAGCGAGGTCTTCGTAAAATATTCACTGCTCATTACGCATACAGGAATGCCTAATGTATTTGAATTTGACACTAGTATCGGGAACGACTAACGGATTCATCTTTCAAATAATCAATTAATTAACAGAATATTGGTAGGTTCGCTTGACCTGCCTTGACTGTAATAATTTTTCATGGCCAGAATTTAATTTCACGCACGCGCGGTAGAAGTGGACAATCCCAACAAAATTTCCAACAGGAAACAATGAAAATTCTACAAAGAAATGTGGGATAAGTAAAATAATTTGCGATACAGCATGTCGTGCGATATACCTGAACACTAGGACGCGATTGATACTGAAAGGTTGACTTACTTATATCTTAGTTTTGACAAAGTTAATCTCCTACCTTCAAATCTCGAGCTTCCCAGAATGGAAATAAAAATGCAAAAAAAAATACCTGCGTCTTCCATATGATTCTATCGCAAATGAAGCACTTTCACCTTGATTAACTTCTTTTTTTTTCAGTAATTTATGACAATTCCGCTGGGAAACTCTCAGAGGATGCGACTAAATCTTCAAGTACAATTCTTATGTTTCTATCGTGAGTTTTTTTTTTTGTCCACTGAAAAAGCATGTTCTTCCTACCCACGTTTAAAGAATTTGGGGTTAATTCTATTTATAAATACGCTTCTACTACACGTCTTAAATCCCATACCTTTGCTCTACAATATCTCGGCCAAAAATCATCTAAATTGTTCCAAAAACCTCGTGTTCGAAAGCTTATTTCGTTGCGTTTTCGCCGCCATTTTTGGTTGTGGCAATATTTTTGATCAGCGGCTTCTATTTGACCATAGACAACAATGTATTTGAATTTGACCACTCGAACTTTTCGAACATTATGAGCCCAGGAATCACAGTAAAAACCAGCGGTTAAAACCATTGCGAAACAGTCTGAATGTAAGTCGCGCGAAATTTGACGTGCGAGATTTCTGGACATGTTTCTTTTTTTTTTTTCATACAGCCTCTATAGTTAACAATCCGTCCTGCGTAAAGTTTCTTCATTTTATCCCAGTTTACCTATTGCATGTATCTATGCGACGTGTTATGTCCCTTTATGATGAGAAGCATAGGGTAACTTAACTTCAGACGTTTTATTCGTCTGACGTTTAATGCGTCTGCCTTATTTCCCGTATTTATACTAGACGTCTTAGACGTCCTCTAGTATCATGATTACGGCTAGTTTTAGACTATATGCATGATGGGTAAGAGAAAGTCAGTAAGATTTTGGTCCAGGCTCGTGGTGCAGGTGGATTTTCTCTCTTTGTCAAAGACTTCCTTTATTTTTAACCATTTTATCTTTTATTGGAATACTTAGTGGGTGTTACTTCACAAGGGAGAGTGTCTGGACGTTTCTTTGACATTAAGGTTTCTCTTTTTGGCACAGATGCGCAAATAGACAGAGCAGAGCTTCCTATTGCGCGGGAAAAAATACTCTTATTGAGAAGGTCTAAAAAGAAACACAGATCTGTGATCGTGAAAAGACCGTGACAAAGATGTTCGACACGGCTGATGGTGAAAATCGATGCTACAGTAAGTTATATGTCTTTATGCTTTAAGTTTGGCCGCCGTCTTGGTTTCAGAACTTGTCTGGGACAAGGAGCACCTTTCTGGTTAGTAGTGTCGGCATTTTCGTCCGGTGTATTCTAAAGAAAGGATAAAATAAATAAATAAGTGCAGTAATTAGCTCACCTCAAATGTTCTGAGTTAAATCATCATGTCCCCCGCCCGACCCAGAACTGAGTCTGCAAAAGGGAATCTACACTAGGGAATCTTGTTCCACAGAACAGACCCTCTGTCAGAGATTAGAAACCTGCCTAAATTATTTTTTTTCAAAACTTCATTTCATGGGAAAGATTTTCTTAATACACCATGGGTCATTGTAACTCTCCTTATAGGTGTTTGCATTTTTAACTTTATAGTCAAGTAGTTCCTTAGAGTGTTTTGGTCTAATTTTGCACACGATTCTTTTGAAGAGCATGCAAAAAATATACGATTTTGCGCACAAATAAAGATGATGATGATGATGATGATGATGATGATGATGATGATGATGATGGCGATAGATATAACATTCACAGCCTGAAAACAATCCGTGTATCTTTTCTTCCACTGCCGCCCCGAAATGAAATATTTCACACATTGTTGGAAAGGGTCTTTGGTTGGTATATTAATTAGTTCTGTTGAAAATTTGTTGCAAGGCAGCTTGTTACGCTAAGGTCCCAAAAGTTTAGCTAGCTTCATTACGGCTCCGTAACCATGCCAGACGATTCAATACTTGTGTAGTAAAGTAGCCAGGGAGCTATTTTCCCGGAAATGTCAACTAAACTGCTAAAGGATTCTTGTAGTTGCATTCCGTTGTGTCATATGCACAACTCCTAAAGCTAATTTTGCTGCTTTTCCAGGCGTATTAACAAATCCCTTTATGAGAGGAAAGGTAAATTATGTTCCCAAATCAATATTGCAAAAAGTGGGGATGCCTTTTGTCACACTACTTTTAAATCTTACTACTTGTTGCAATTTTCGGAAAATATTTGCAGTTATTTTTAGGCAACTTTAACTATGGGAGAAGTTTGATATCACCGGAGGGTATAATTCTAAAACATAGTACATACCCAGCTGATGGACACGCAGTGTACCATATCTCTTAATTGCTTTCTCTGGCTTATTCTCCTGGGCTGTGAAAGTTGTTCGCCCTTCCTGTTCTTTGAGCCGTATTTTTTGGGAATGAATCCTTCTCCGTGGTTAAACAGAACACAGCTTAGCATCAGCCATAAGGCAATAACGGTAACCAGATGTCCCGAGTCCTTCGTTAACATCAGTGTCATTCTATTTTGTGAAGTATATTAGCCGTTGGCAGTCAGTTGGTACGCTCAGTCTTCGTTTCTTTCGTAAAGCAGTATTTTCAGAACTGTGGAACAAAGCAATTTTCCCTCACTTATTTATGCAGGTATGTTGCGGAAAGATCTCGTTTTATGATATACCACTCCAAATCGCTTCATATGGTATATCTGGGAGAAAATCTACCCGCATAAACGTATTACGAAAACAGTTGATGTTTTTTTGCCTAAACCGGTCAATTCTATATGATTTGGAGGAATATATTAAACAAAGTGCAGTAAATGTATTATTCATTCCAATTTTTGTTCATGGTGATTCCTTTGTTTGTTTGTTTGTTTGTTTGTTTGTTTTTTCATTCCCAAAGCCTGGCAGCAAATTATGAATTTTAATCACATAAATTTTTTTTCCAAATTAATTGAGTTGTTTAACTGCCCACCGTAAAAAGCAAAAAAACCAAAACAAACAAACACAAGGGGGGAAGAGAGGGGGCAGGGGTGGGGGTCAGAGGTAGAGAGAGAGAGAGGAGGGGGGAAAAGAGAGGGGAGAGAGAAAGAGAAACCGACTTTTTGAGCGTCAGTTCTTCGTCATCGCGAATCACAGCACCATTGTACCCAAGCTTCCATAATAGTGATAAAAGGCCTTAGTAGGGCACGTATAATGACAAAGACAATGGAATAGACAGTGACAGTGGCAAAGAGTGACAGGACATGACAGTGGGAACGCCAGAATGACAGTGACAGTGACGGGGACAATGACAGCAGACAATAACAATAAAAAGATGACAGTAACAGTGACAGTGACAAAGACTGACAGCAAAAGTGACAATGAGAGTGACATTGACAGTAAATGATAATGACAATGACAAAGAGTGACGCGACAATGACAATGAAAATGACAGTGACAGTGAAAATGACAAAGAGTAAGAATGAGAGTGACAATGTCAACGACAATAACAATGAAAATAACAGTGATAATGATTATGAAAACGACAGTGACAATGACAATGACAAAGTGTGACGATGACAGTGACAATAACAGTGACAGTGGCAGTGTTAAAGACAATGACAAGATTTGACAGTGACATTGTGGGTTATTAATTTAGATTTGTCCAGAATCAAACTAACAATAAAATAATCAGAAATTAATTATCAATCGGCCACCGTTGTGTAGTTAAGATTCATTCAAAAAACTCATTGATAACTCATGAGCTCAACAACGTATCACGTCCGCTAAAATACGTCACGTGCTCGTGTTTTGAATCTCGGTGAAGCACTGTCAAACTTTAGAAATTTTATCTTCATTAGTATATTTTATGTAAAAAATACTAGTAAGGATGACATTTTATTTCATGGCACTTGACCTATGAATATTAATTATCAGCACAGCAACTGTCACAACAAATAGTGGGTGAATATTCGATGTTCTTTCAAAATGACATACGCAGTAAATTCACTATTGCAAAAAATTAAACTTTTTTCTTTCACCAATTTAATCAGCCAAAAGTTCAGCGACACAGCGGAAATATTGGCTTTTGCAGTGTCCAAGCGTTGCACTCAAGACTTGCCAGTTGTGAATACGCAAGACTCAAGCGCCAGATTTTTTGTTTTCCTACCATTCGGCATTCCAGAAAAAAAAAATCAAAGAACTCTTTTTCCGTGGAATAGCTGACTTTAGGGGTACATTTTCAATTCACTTCCTCCCTTCCTCGGCATTTTTAGGCTTCCGAAAACAACAAGACGTTATGTCCTCTTCGGTAAGTGTCGTTCGATTCGTAGACTGGAAAATTTCTAAACACGTGTGACATTTGATTTTCTTATATGATAACTTCGCATACGTAATGTTTTTTCTCTCGTATGCTAATTTACAACGTTCACAAAAGCGTCATTGTTATCAACTCCATTGAGACACACTTTTCCAGGAATGTTTTTGAAGTCGTTCAATAAACTCCCGGGTCCAGTTTTATTACATGTTGTGGCAGTTATTTTAGTATAATACAGTCACAAGAGACAAAAAGTATGTGAAAATGTCCATTTTGACGCCAGATGGATTCACGAACACTTCTATTCCTCCCCTGTTTTGACAACCTTTTAATGGAATTTTTCTTTGTTTTGTTGTTGTTGTTATGGTTTATATGGATTAAAATGGTTCATGTGCCAAATTCAAGCAATTTTAAGATATTCGCCAATATTTTCAGTGTACTATGGTAAGTAGAGAAACATCAATCCAGTTTTTTTGTGTGTGTGTGTGTTTAGTGCAGTAAGGAGGGTAAAGTATAACAGTAAAAGATAGAAAATTTCGTGAGTTCAGGGTCATAAGTCAGAAATGCTCTTTCATTGAGGCCAGTATTGAATGGCAGCCTTGCTTATGGAAGCTCTCGATATAATCACTCTTGACGTTTTCAAGTGCGTACTACTGGCCGAATTCAACCATGAAACTTTTGAAACTTGGCGACTTACATATAGCATGAAATCTAAAGTCATTGATGATTCATAGTGCGAAACGAAAAAATGAGACTGCGAGAAGGAGGTGTTCGTCGGTATCGAACACTAAATAACCGTCCATGGTGTGTTTTAACCGAAATCCGGATACGATTTATCTCAAATAACCCGCCGGATGCGCTTCGTTACTTCAACACACTTCTCAGTGGCTACTGAGATACTTCTGCTTGGTATTTGCCTCGGGTAAGCGTCGGATTTGATTTGAAATAAAGAACGTATTAAACGCTTGTTAGGAAAAGGGAAACTGAATGTACAGGCGATTACGATAATTGCTTCAAAACTTTCATTTTCGTCATATTAAAAAAAAATGACGTGAGATTCAGTCAAAAGTCTCGCAAGAGCATTTTCAATTAGATACCTATCATCGGTTACAATTAAAACATTGTCCAAAGGAAGCTGCGTGCATGAAATCATTAGGAACCGTTACTCTTTATACCACACGTCGTTTGATTGAAGTTTGCTTACTATTGAAAGGAAAAGTCAATTGTTTCTCTTTATGGCAAATAAACTTCAATGGAATCTGCTGTTACGCGCAAGTTATTTTAGCCGTTGTGTAATTACGCACTGGTCACAGCAAGCCTAGGTGTGCGACCGAACGTTTACCAAAAAAAAAAATACAGAAAAAGAATGCATAGAGTCTAAGTTATGTAAGAACATTAATTCTGAAATAAAACCAATAAGAATAAATCGGTAAACTTACCTATACACTGCCTACCTACAGAGTAGGTACACTGCTAAAATTGGAAGACAGTCATCTGAAGTTGCTAAAAAACTGTGACAGCAAACGTATCTTCTAGCACTTAGGCGTTAAGTACGACATTGATCGGCAGAAAACAAACACGACTTCAAAAAAAGCGGTACACGCAAATCCATACCCCCACCGTGGTACAAGAGGGGATGATGGAGCCCCTCCCTAGAGATCAGCGATATTTCGAAACGATTTTGCGTTTAATCGAAAGCCTTCAATCTTCTCAACAAGATGAGGTTTATTTTATGGGTGGTGACGCTGCTGGAGGCCTGTGACGTCACCAACAATGTTCACCATCTCCTCTGCCATCTTGGATTTCACCAAAAATTAGACATCGGGTTAAAATCGCGATAAATGGTAACATTTAAAAAAAAGTACTGATGTTTTATCGCCTAGAAAAACAAACAAACAAAAAATAAATCAGAGGGTGGGGGGATGGCCGTGGGTACGTCCGAGGGTTAATACGGAATAAGACGAGTACAGGGGGCTGCATTATGGTGTGGAAACAGCCACCGAATTCTGGCTGGAAAGCATCACTTGCACTGTCATCACACTTGTCAGCTTTCAAGTCTTACTTGAATTAGGATCTACATATTATGCACTTGAGTTTACTTACAGCTTCCAATGTCTTTTTAAAGCACATGAGCACTGACGCATTGCAGAATGCACCGGATAAAGTAATCAAGGAACCAATTAAAAGTTGAAGATATTCCGTTCTGATAAGAGGTACACATCATCGAGAGATTCGAGTATCAAATGACAGTTTGGGAGGGTAAAGTCCGGTTTCCATATAATCGACCGGATTGTCCCAATCGTCCCAATCGTCTCAAAGAATGGGACGATCATATGGAAAAGCTACCCGGTCGATCGCAAACGACCCGGACGATTGGGAAGACCTCGATCGCTTGGAGAGAATTGAGCTCTATGCTGACGATCGGGACGATCGAGTAAATTTTGAAAAGATCGTATGGAAACGCTCTCAGACGACTGTGACGATCGAACGATGGATAGCTGTCCCAGAAATCATCACTTTTATTTTAGCAATCGGGAACTTATTAGGCCTAGGCGTTGCCTGAAGCCGAAAGAAAAACTATAAAAATGTTCGCACCCCGTATGGGCAATATCTGAAAAAGAGGTAGTCCCTAGACATGATGCTAGTTGACGCTGTGTCTTCGTGGTACATTTCCACCTTGTTACGCCTCCAAATCGAGAGAATAAGCACATAGCAAGCCAGGAGGTTCATTCTCTGATTAGAATTCTCCATATATGTTTGGCTTGTTTGCGACGCACGTGCAAAACTTCTGTTGTCATACCCAGAAACATCACTGACGACTCCGCGTCTCTCGTCTTCGAAGCGATCGAGACGATTATACCGAAACCACCAACCGTTCCAGTATCGTCCCCAAATTTTTTGATTCGACTAGGGCGATCAGGACGATCCGGACGATCATGTGGAAACCGGGCTTAAAAAAAATCAAATTAGCAGCTTAACCCTATTCAGGCCGGGCTATTTCTGCTTCCTTCGATCAATTTGAACACAAGTAGTTTTTGAAGTAATTTTACGCTATTATGACGTCATATCGTTGAATCTATTGGCAGTATACAAATTCCATCATTTTTTCCCCTGAAAGAAGGACTTGATAAAAAAAAAGGTGTCTGACAAAATCAAGGAGTTAGCTAAAACCTGAATTGTAATCTGCAATTACATGTAGTAGTGACTAAATTAAACTACACTATTTGATGACAACTAGGAACTCACTAATTCAGTTCAAATACTCTCATAAATCTTTTGGCAATCTCTTTCTAAACTGGGAAACAAAGTTCAGGTTCGACACGTGTGAATTTAGAAAATAAGACGCACCGTCATTTTGATAAACACTGTGTTCTTCCTTTAATTTTCTTAAACATGAATGTAAATTAGTATGCCATTGTATGCCTTGCTTTCCCCTTATTTGACTGCTATACATTATCTATACACTTTTGCAATATTTTTAATTTGACCTAAGCAAATCTGGCCCAGCTTTTTTCTTGTTTCGTCCAGTGTAATGACACAAAAATGGAAGTATTTTTTGCTCTTATTACATGATATTTTATTCATGATATAAATTTTTATAACTTACCAAAGAGCATAATTATATACTAGGCAATATTCAGAGCCGGATCCAGACTTTAAGAAAAGGAGGGGCCTTGTCAGATGGAAGGGTTGGGGGGGAGGAGGAGGGCTCGGGCCCCTTCCCTAGATCCGCCACTGATATTATATATACATAAAAGGGAAGCCATCCATGTGACGTCTCACTTTATTAAATTCCTTGATTTTTTTCCCTTTAACTATGTAGTGCATGAAAAAAGTCAAAATAAATAAATAAAACAATGAAATAAATTTTGCCTCGTTATAAATAGCCGAGGCCGCGAAGCGGCGAAGTAAATAGCCACCGACACTGAGGTGAATATAATTGTTTTAGTATATACTAAAACAGTGAGATAATTGAGCACAAAAATGATCATTTTTAACTGCTGCCAACGATTACAATTTTGGCGCGCAAAGGACCGAACGGCCGCGGTCGTCCCTTTTTCTTGCCGACAAATAAAACTTTTGAAAGCATTTGTTTAGCTCTTGCGAGTTGTGAATTCTTTTGGTATTTAAAATCATTCTGTAAAAATGATTATTAAATTTAGTTTTAAGCTCGTTTATGAACAAGTGAACTAAATAAAGTAACGCATTAATTTTGTAAACAAAAACCTTTTTCACCGGTTTTATCGATAAATTCAAGTCAAAAAGACAAAGCTTTACCTGTTAAAACTTTCAAACCGAACTTCGTCACCTTCTTCGGGTATTTCGGGAACAGCTTGCTTGATTAGTTGTGAAATTTCTTTTTTTGTTACGGCAGCAAACCTGGAAGGCATTTTGCTTGCAACTTAGGCGAGTTTGGCGTAGCTCGCCTGCTCGGAGGAACTGGAGGTGAATCAGTGAATAGTGCAGGATATTAACTGATTAAGTAGCCAATCAGAGTGCGCGAAAAACAGTATCCACTGTTTTAGTATATACTAATTAAATATAAAGAGACCTCCATGTTTGGCTCTTGCGCCGCTCACCAATGCTTGTGTTAATCAATATTCCGTGCAACACGCTGAGTTGAACGCGCAATTTATCGTTACAGTTTCACTTTATCAGAATTTCACTTTATTCTATGTTATTAAAAACAGAACTTTAAGCCACAGATAGGGCAAAGTGTTGCTGTTGCTAAGTCGTCTAAATTGAAGAAAGGTGCGGGCACGGGTCAGATCGCCCTTGTGATTTCAGAGTAATAACATCAGCTTGAAGTTCTATTCCTTTGGGCCTGGGCAACCATTGCAATCTAAGAACAAATAAATAAATAAACGAATGAAAAATAACTAAATACAAAAATGGTTTTCTAAAGGTCTTGTTGTTTTAACTTGGTATGCTCATGATTAAGCAACGAGATCGGAAATGCTTAATTACTCTCGATAATTGGTGTCTTCTTGAGAGGTTACGAAGGAGGATAATAAACATTAGTATATACACACTCAGTGATCTTGGTGATTTAAGCAATCTGATTGGTTCGCTATCTCGGACTATTCAACAATATTCACCTCCTAGCGAGTGGATAATGTGTGAGCTCGGTGTTTTTCCCGTTTTTTTTAGAGAACGATCTTTTAAAAGTCGACAAAATCCTAGGGCTGACTTTTTTTAAGGCAAGAAAAGACTTGGAAGGATTCAATACGGCGTTTTTCAATTTACTGTAGCAGGAGTTTTGTGCACGATGGATTGTTTACAACTCCCGTGTATTCGCGTAGAAGAAGCCGTTTCGTGAACTCAGCGTTTTCTAAGAAGAAAATTTTGGCTCAAAAATCGAAGTTTATTTATGACAAACAAATTTAAAAGGAAATGTTTGCAGAAATTTTACATTTCAAGTAAACAGGAAAAAGAATGATACAGGAAGACGACCTCTTACCTCGAGCAACCGAGCCGCCATTTTTGTCAGCACTTCATGCGAAGAACGACACAACATGCCCTTTTGGCTATAAACTTGGCGAGTCAACAGAAAATAACACAGCTCTACTTTTTTTCTCAGGTAAGGAAACAGTTCAAACTTTTAGCGATTCCATTGAAGCCATTACGCTGTTGTTTGCGAAATGAGTAAACTTGTGAATTGCCCTGTCTGAAAATTCTGCAAAGATCTATTTTTAAACTTACGCGTGATTTGATCTGTCAATCAAATCCTACTTTTGAATGGTTTCCTTTCTGATTTTGTTGAGATCACTTCGTGTGTATATACTAAAACAATTATTCTTCTCAATCTCGGTGAATAGTGGCTTTGGGAATATTTACCTCGCCGCTTTCGCGGCTCGGTAAATATTTTGCCACTATTCACCTCGATTTCAAAGAATAATTGTTAAATGTTTTAGTGGTTATTAGAAACACTTCTTGAACAAGAAATTAACTTGTTATTTTATTTATTTGGTATTACATGCTTGCCTGATGATCGGTGTTCCCACAATGCTGAATGAAATCAGTTGACTGGAAGGTAAAGTGTCACTATGCGTGTGGAAGTACTTTATGATTATTGTCATATAATTATAATTGTTATAATCGTTATTGTTATTTCGCACTTAACTATCGGATGAGCTCACATCCCGCCGCATACTTTAAAGTTTTACAACGCTTTTCGAAATTTCTGAAAATGTTTTCTTATATCTAATAAGTAAGTCTCATTACTGTATATTAAATTCCCAAAACATTTTTCGTTGTACTTTTTGTTTGTGTTCCTTCACCATACTCACCAAAACCCGAGTCGCCCAGTTCTCAGCTGCGTGCTCCATTTCTGCTCTTGTCAATTTCTCTCTATGATGTTCCCGTTCGTCATGTCTTTTGTCTTGTTTGGCATTTTGGTGGAATCTTCCTCTCCCTCTTCGAGGTACAAATGAGGATCCTTCAGCCTTGTCTAAAACAAAACAGCTTAAAATCAACCAGAAAACGAGGAAGCTTAAGAGGTGCTTGGAGTCCATTCTTAATATATGCTGTGGCCAGAAGTCAACAGGCAATTTAATTTTGAATTGTTGCACAGTAGCTTTCTTGTAGCGATGTGGGATCAACCAAGTCGGCACTGGACACTGTGGGGAAACAGTTTCTTTGTTAGTGATGATCTCTTAATATAAATATAACTATGGGGCTGTTTACATGAAGGGAGAATGATCCTAGTACCAGGAAGATCCTTGAAGTCAGATCATCCCAGCACCATATGTTTTCTGTATTCGGCTTACATGCAAAGGGTTGCACTTGTTCCTGGAGCTGTGATCTTCTTTGTACTAGGATCTTCCTAGCTGACAGGTAGGAAGATCCTAGCACCCTGCAAACTGCCTTCGCTAGGAAGATCCTAGTACTAGTAGGGTAAAGTATAACAGTAAAAGATAGAAAATTTCGTGAGTTCAGGGTCATAAGTCAGAAATGCTCTTTCATTGAGGCCAGTATTGAATGGCAGCCTTGCTTATGGAAGCTCGCGATATAATCACTCTTGACGTTTTCAAGTGCGTACTACTGGCCAAATGCAACCATGAAACTTTTGAAACTTGGCGACTTGCATATAGCATGAAATCTAAAGTCATTGATGATTCGTAGTGCGAAACGAAAAAATGAGACTGCGAGAAGGAGGCGTTCGTCGGTATCGAACAGTAAATAACCGTCCATGGTGTGTTTCAACCGAAATCCGGATACGATTTATCTCAAATAACCCGCCGGATGCGCTTCGTTACTTCAACACACTTCTCAGTGGCTACCGAGATACTTCTGCTTGGTATTTGCTTCGGGAAGCGTCGGATTTGATTTGAAATAAAGAACGTATTAAACGCTTGTTAGGAAAAGGGAAACTGAATGTACAGGCGATTACGATAATTGCTTCAAAACTTTCATTTTCGTCATATTCCAAAAAAATGACGTGAGATTCAGTCAAAAGTCTCGCAAGCGCATTTTCAATTAGATACCTATCATCGGTTACAATTAAAACATTGTCGAAAGGAAGCTGCGAGCATGAAATCATTAGGAACCGTTACTCTTTATACTACAGGTCGTTTGATTGAAGTTTGCTTACTATTGAAAGGAAAAGTCAATTGTTTCTCTTTATGGCAAATAAACGTCAATGAAATCTGCTGTTACGCGCAAGTTATTTTAGCCGTTGTGTAATTACGCACTGGTCACAGCAAGCCTAGGTGTGCGACCGAACGTTTACCAAAAAAAAAAATGCAGAAAAAGAAAATCAATGCAAAGGGTCTAAGTTATGTAAGAACATTAACTCTGAAATAAAACCAATAAGAATAAATCGGTAAACTTACCTATACACTGCCTACCTACAGAGTAGGTACACTGCTAAAATTGGAAGACAGTCATCTGAAGTTGCTAAAAAACTGTGACAGCAAACGTATCTTCTAGCACTTAGGCGTTAAGTACGACATTGATCGGCAGAAAACAAACACGACTTCAAAAAAAGCGGTACACGCAAATCCATACCCCCACCGTGGTACAAGAGGGGTTGATGGAGCCCCTCCCTAGAGATCAGTGATATTTCGAAACGATTTTGCTTTTAATCGAAAGCCTTCAATCTTCTCAACAAGATGAGGTTTATTTTATGGGTGGTGACGCTGCTGGAGGCCTGTGACGTCACCAACAATGTTCACCATCTCCTCTGCCATCTTGGATTTCACCAAAAATTAGAAGTCGGGTTAAATTCGCGATAAACGGTAACATATAAAAAAAGTGCTGATGTTTTATCGGCTAGGAAAACAAACAAACAAAAAATAAATCAGAGGGTGGGGGGATGGCTGAGGGTACGTCCGAGGGTTAATACGGAATAAGACGAGTACAGGGGGCTGCATTATGGTGTGGAAACAGCCACTGAATTCTGGCTGGTAAGTATCACTTGCACTGTCATCACACTTGTCAGCGTTCAAGTCTTACTTGAATTAGGATCTACATATTATGCACTTGAGTTTACTTACAGCTTCCAATGTCTTTTTAAAGCACATGAGCACTGACGCATTGCAGAATGCACAGGATAAAGTAATCAAGGAACCAATTAAAAGTTGAAGATATTCCGTTCTGATAAGAGGTACACATCATCGAGAGATTCGAGTATCAAATGACAGTTTGGGAGGGTAAAGTCCGGTTTCCATATAATCGACCTGATTGTCCCAATCGTCCCAATCGTCTCAAAGAATGGGACAATCATATGGAAAAGCTGCCCGGTCGATCGCAAACGACCCGGACGATTGGGAAGACCTCGATCGCTTGGAGAGAATTGAGCTCTATGCTGACGATCGGGACGATCGAGTAAATTTTGAAGCGATCATATGGAAACGCTCTCAGACGACTGAGACGATCGAAACGATCGATAGCTGTCCCAGAAATCATCACTTTTGTTCTAGTAAACAGGAACTAATTAGGCCTAGGCGTTGCCTGAAGCGGAAAGAAAAACTATAAAAATGTTCGCAGAGCGTATGGGCAATATCTGAAAAAGAGGTAGTCCCTAGATCTGATGCTAGTTGACGCTGTGTCTTTGTGGTACATTTCCACCTTGTTACGCCTCAAAATCGAGAGAATAAGCAGACAGCAAGCCAGGAGGTTCATTCTCTGATTAGAATTCCCCATATATGTTTGGCTTGAATTGTTTGCGACGCACGTGCAAAACTTCCGTTGTCATACCCAGAAACATCACTGACGACTCCGCGTCTCTTGTCTTCGAAGCGATCGAGACGATTATACCGAAACCACCAACCGTCCCAGTCGTCCGGATCGTCCCCAAATTTCTTGATTCGACTAGGGCGATCAGGACGATCCGGACTATGATATGGAAACGAGGCTTAAAAAATCAAATTAGCTTAACCCTATTCAGGAGGCTATTTTTTCGACCTTCGATGAATTTGAAAATAAGACGCCATTATGACGTCATTTTGAATCTAAACACTGTACAAATTCCTTCATTTTTTTCCCCTTAAGAAGGAATGATAAAAAAATTAGTATTCAAATTGTATGAGTTTGCTAAAACCTGAATTTAATTTGCTATACATTATCTATACAGATTTTGCATTATTTTTAATTTGACCTAACAAATTTGGCGCAAATACTTTTCCTTCTTTCGTCAAGTCTTAATAAACTGGGAAAAATGGATTTATGTTTTGACACTTATTATTTGAAATTTTATTCATGATATAAATTTTATTAATTGTTGCCTTGCTTTCCCTTAATTTATACTATAGGTAATATCCACTTTTGCCGGATTTTTAATTTTAAGAAAAGGAGGGGGGCAGCTTTCACCCTTTCGTCCAGATAACGGAGAGGCCAAGAATGCAAAAAAAAAAATGTTTTGCTCTTATTATATGATATTTTATTTATGATATAAATTTTTATAACTTACCAAAGAACATAATTATATACTAGGCAATATTCAGTGCCGGATCCAGACTTTTTAAGAAAAGGAGGGGGCAAGCCATCCATGTGACGTCTCACTTTATTAAATTCCTTGATTTTTTTCCCTTTAACTATGTAGTGCATGAAAAAAGTCAAAATAAATAAACAAAACAATGAAATAAATTTTGCCTCGTTATAAATAGCCGAGGCCGCGAAGCGGCGAAGTAAATAGCCACCGACACTGAGGTGAATATAACTGTTTTAGTATATACTAAAACAGTGAGATAATTGAGCACAAAAATGACCATTTTTAACTGCTGCCAACGATTACAATTTTGGCGCGCAAAGGACCGAACGGCCGCGGTCGTCGCTTTTTCTTGCCGACAAATAAAACTTTTGAAAGCATTTGTTTAGCTCTTGCGGGGAAATTTCTTCAAAACGAGTTGTGAATTCTTTTGGTATTTAAAATCATTCTGTAAAAAAGATTATTAAATTTAGTTTTAAGCTCGTTTATGAACAAGTGAACTAAATAAAGTAACGCATTAATTTTGTAAACAAAAACCTTTTTCACCGGTTTTATCGATAAATTCAAGTCAAAAAGACAAAGCTTTACCTGTTAAACTTTCAAACCGAACTTCGTCACCTTCTTCGGGTATTTCGGGAGCAGCTTGCTTGATTAGTTGTGAAATTTCTTTTTTTGTTACGGCAGCAAACCTGGAAGGCATTTTGCTTGCAACTTAGGCGAGTTTGGCGTAGCTCGCTTGCTCGGAGGAACTGGAGGTGAATCAGTGAATAGTGCAGGATATTAACTGATTAAGTAGCCAATCAGAGTGCGCGAAAAACAGTATCCACTGTTTTAGTATATACTAATTAAATGTAAAGAGACCTCCATGTTTGGCTCTTGTGCCCCTCACCAATGCTTGCGTTATAATCAATATTCCGTGCAACACGCTGAGTTGAACGCGCAATTTATCGTTACAGTTTCACTTTATCAGTATTTCACTTTATTCTATGTTACTAAAAATAGAACTTTAAGCCACAGATAGGGCAAAGTGTTGCTGTTGCTAAGTCGTCTAAACTGAAGAAAGGTGCGGGCACGGGTCAGATCGCCCTTGTGATTTCAGAGTAATAACATCAGCTTGAAGTTCTATTCCTTTGGGCCTGGGCAACCATTGCAATCTAAGAACAAATAAATAAATAAACGAATAAAAAATAACTAAATACAAAAAAGGTTTTCTAAAGGTCTTGTTGTTTTAACTTGGTATAGTCATGATTAAGCAACGAGATCGGAAATGCTTAATTACTCTCGATAATTGGTGTCTTCTTGAGAGGTTACGAAGGAGGATAATAAACAATGTTTTAGTGGTTATTAGAAACACTTCTTGAACAAGAAATTAGCTTGTTATTTTATTTATTTAGTATTATATGCTTGCCTGATGATCGGTGTTCCCACAATGCTGAATGAAATCAGTTGACTGGAAGGTAAAGTGTCACTATGTTTGTGGAAGTACTTTATGATTATTATCATTATAATTATAATTGTTATAATCGTTATTGTTATTTCGCACTTAACTATCGGATGAGCTCACATCCCGCCGCATACTTTAAAGTTTTACAACGCTTTTCGAAATTTCTGAAAATGTTTTCTTATATCTAATAAGTAAGTCTCATTACTGTATATTAAATTCCCAAAACATTTTTCGTTGTATTTTTTGTTTGTGTTCCTTCACCATACTCACCAAAACCCGAGTCGCCCAGTTCTCAGCTGCGTGCTTCATTTCTGCTCTTGTCAATTTCTCTCTGTGATGTTCCCGTTCGTCATGTCTTTTGTCTTGTTTGGCATTTTGGTGGAATCTTCCTCTCCCTCTTCGAGGTACAAATGAGGATCCTTCAGCCTTGTCTAAAACAAAACAACTTAAAATCAACCAGAAAACGAGGAAGCTTAAGAGGTGCTTGGAGTCCATTCTTAATATATGCTGTGGCCAGAAGTCAACAGGCAGTTTAATTTTGAATTGTTGCACTGTAGCTTTCTTGTACACTGTGGGGAAACAGTTTCTTTGTTAGTGATGACCTCTTAATATAAATATAACTATGGGGCTGTTTACATGAAGGGAGAATGATCCTAGTACCAGGAAGACCCTTGAAGTCAGATCATCCCAGCACCATATGTTTTCTGTATTCGGCTTACATGCAAAGGGTTGCACTTGTTCCTAGAGCTGCAATCTTCTTTGTACTAGGATCTTCCTAGCTGACAGGTAGGAAGATCCTAGCACCATGCAAACTGCCTTCGCTAGGAAGATCCTAGTACTAGGGAAAAAAACAGCCAAAAATAGCGGCGGGTCGTTCAGTGGCCAATCACGGTAATAAAGGCCGACCATTTCGTTTGGCGTTACCACGGGCTGATTATTGTGATCATGATTCTGCTGAAAGGAAGTTGTTAACGCCAGTAAAGAGAGCAGAAGGGCCCAAATTGAATGTTTGTTTCTGTCACCCGCCATTTTTAATTCCTTCTCAAACATTCTATATTCAGGTACCACACGGACCAAAATTTCTGCATGTAAATCCAACGTAAAGTAGGTCCGCCTTCTAGGATCTTCCTGCTACTGGGATCTTCTTTTCCTCCACATAAAGAGCCCCTATTAATGAATATTGAGGGTCGATGTTTCAAGAATGAACTACCATAAACACGAGCTTTGCTTAAGCAGAAAAAATATAATAGTTATAATAATAATAATAATAATAATAATAATAATAGTAATAATAATAATAATAATAATGAAATAATAGTAAATACGCTGGAGAAGATAATCCGCGATGCATAAGAAAACGTGATTAAACGTGCCCTTTTTCAGCCTTTTTTTTTTTTGAAACGTGATTGGTTTAGCTATATAGCAGTTTGGCTGTCGTCATTTCTCTTCGCGCTAAAAATACGTTGCCGTCGCTGCTATTCAATCGAAACCACCGACTGCTGCAATATTAAGAACAAATGGAAGCAGGCAAGGAATATCCCATTTGTGGTCACCTATAACCCAGCCTCTCCCAGCCTTAACATTAACACCTTAACACCTCTCGATACTTTAATCCTCAAACCGTTGTAGAGAAGTCTTTCCTGATAACACAGGCGCCCGAAGCTCAAGTTACGAGTGTCTTATGTAAATTCACTTCGAATTACATTACGAGACAGATTTGGAGAACACCGAAAAGGTACAACACAACTGCCGATGACGCGGTAGCACAGCATTTCAATATCGTTACGATGCGCTAATTCAACCAAGCATACGGACTGTTACGATCCGTAAGGATCGTAAAAACAGTAACACACAACACACTGTGCCCTGATGTAACAATCATTATGAGATGCACGCTTCGTATGTGCTTAAAATACCGACTGTTACCAATGCTGACGGTTTGTAGAGAGCGCACTATCGGTCAACTGCTCTTAAGATCCGTAACAGTGCGACACCAATGGACGTGACTAATTTCTTTCAAATTTGAAATGATCTCGGGGAAAAAGAAAACAAAAATCAAAACTCCAATGATGATTTTCCTGTAAAGCAGAAATAATATAATATACTCTTACCTCTTAAGTTACCTCTCTGTTGCACTCCTATCTTTAAGAACACAGACTAAATTCTAAAGCGAGTGCTCCAAATTGCAGCCGATTTATGTAAGTTATATCCTTTGCAATTTATGGACGCAGAAGTGGCAGATTTTGACGTCAGTCAGCTATTTCTACCTTTAACAATCTCCGTTTCCTGCGTGAAAGGGAAAAGAGATTAACACCAAGATTGCTGCAGAGGATGTGATTTAAAATATAACTTCCGTTGATCGAATGCCTGCAGATGTCCACGATGCCGTTGTTGCCGTAAGCAAGTCAAGGAAACATGAAAATGAATTCTAAGAGTTTTAAAAGAAACGTGTAAGAGAAACATGCATAAGAAATACAGACGTGTGAATCAACACGTGTGTGAGGAAAGGGATGGAGAGAAACATTTTTTTGGTCCAAACAGAAATATCAGATTCTGGATAATTCTTTTAACCACTTTGAGAAAGCTTAGGCGTCAAGAAATCACGCACGGTTGAGTATTACCGGTAATTTGTTGCTTCTGTGTAGTCATTGAGGAATTTTAAGAGATCTTTCGTCTTATCAGCTGAAAGTGCGGCTCTGTTAAAACTTTATCATTTCTGAGGTTGGGAAACGAGTGGGTTTAAAATTTCGGTTAACATGTGCAAGGATTGGTGTCACAATACAACATTCTGATGATACTTGCGCAAAACAAAGAGAGCGCCTTGAGAACCAGGTGAATATGTCACTGATGTTCGCATAACACTTTAAGGTCTTCTTTTATCTACAGTCGAGCAGACACACGGCAAAAAAACAACAAAAGTCTTAAGTGACGCTATCATAGAATCATTTCATCAATTTCGTTATATAGTAATCGCTCCATGTAAGGGAATCCGCGTCTGTAATTCAGGAAATTTTTGCCTGTGGAATGCGGAATCCGGAATCTGGGAAATTTTTGCGTATGGAATCCGAAATCCTCGGCTTTGAACCGGTCGGCTTTGGAATCCGGAATACAGCTCAAGAAACTGGAAACCTTTTGATGAATTAATCGGAGCCTAGAGACCAAAGGAATACGGAACTCTGGCAGCTATAGTACATTACTTTAGTTTAGATTTTCCAAAGCTAAAAGTTTACTATCTATAGTGTATTAACCACTCTGAGAAATGCGATGGTGAATTCTAAGTATGAAAAAAACATCTTTCTAGTGTATCTCTTTGTATTTAACATCGTATTTCTATCATTGCCCATATCGACATTACAGTCCTAGCAAATTTTCGCGCTAGTCATGGTATGGTTCAACTAAAATCCGGGTACTATTTATCGCAAATAACCCGGATGAGCCTCGTTACTTCAGCACACTTCTCGGCGGTTAGTGATATATTAGACTGTTCACAGTCCCGTTTTTTTAGGTAAGATCGTCGAGATCGAGCGCCTTGCGTTAGGTGCTGCCATCTTGCATGAGTGTCAAAACTACGTACCTAGAGGGCGAGGGCGGATTGGGTTTGAGCTATTAGGGAGCTTAAGCAACAACGTTTTTGAGCGACGCACGTCAACCGGAAGTGGCCTTTTTTCATTTTTTGACGGTGGTTTCGCGCAAATTTTCAGTCAAATCGCCTCTATAAAAGTAAAGAAGCTAAGGAATACAAATTTTATATCATCAAGGCATGTTAAGAGGGAAAATACCTCACTTCCGGTTGACGTGCGTCGCTCAAAAACGTCGCTGCTTAAGCTCCCTATTATCCCCGACGACAACGTCCCCTCGGTACATTTAAAAATCAAGGTGGCCGACATTGACGGTAAGACGCGCTATATCTCCACGATCGCACGAGAAAATAGGGGACTATGAACAGTCTAGTGATATACCGATTACAATAACCGCTTCAAAATTTGCATCTTCGTCATTTTCCACAAAATGATGGGAGGTTCAGTCAAAAGTTTAACAAGCGCTTAATTAATTAGATTTCCTTCATCAATAAAAATTAAAACATGGCCTATTTAAATTCATCTTTTGTGCGTCAGATTTCACGTGTGGTTTCACGTGACTATTGATGACATTTGTTGTAAACAAACCCCGAAAGTTCGGACATCTGTTCTTACCTACTATACTGGTACGAACTATGAGTACTCATTCCCTTTTGATGTTTAATTTAAACTCGGGTAACATAAAGTTTAAAATGTCAAAGCAGAAGAACAGGAATGACTCTAACTGCCATGAATAGTCTGAGTACTGCAAAACTGAGGAAAAAAAAAATTCCCCAGAACACGCAGTTTCACGTGCGTGGAAATCTCCTCTGCAGTTGATCAAGGGAATTGCTCTACCTGGCCGTGGATCTAAACTTTCAGAATGATCAAACTAAAGATGCATTCAAACTTATAATTCATAATACTGCAATGTGGTTATATTCACGGGGGGCACTTTAGGAGTTTTGGGATAGGGATGTTCCGCTGAGACCCGGGAACTCTTAGCCTGTACCAAAGCTAGTTCAGCAGAGGTTCTCAACCCTATACTAGACTAAACTCCTCAAACCTTCTTATCCAAGAGTAGCTTTTAGGCTGAGTTGTGTAGAATTGATCAGTGCTCTTTTTTATATTTCTGAGTGGCAATTCCTGGTTTCCCTAGTGTAGTAAAATCTTCCACCAATTGATCAGTTTCCTGGAAAATCCCTATTCTAGACCCCAAACTCTCTGATTCCAAAGTAAACTGCTTGAAAACCATACCCGTAAGGGCGGCACATTAAATTGCATTACCCCCCGCCCCCCCTGCCCCCTCCTGGGGTTACATTCTCATGTCAACCGCATTTACCTTGTTTACTTGGTGTCTTGTTGCTTCCTGTCGCTTAAATCGCAACGGATCGGGAAAATAACCACACAGGAAGCAAGAGGACACCAAGTAAACAAGGTATAAAGCGTTTTTTGATTGAAAATTCATGCGAGTATTCATGTTCTCGAATCTATTACCTGAATTCCCATACAAATCCTTTATAATGTCGGCCATTTTGAAAATTGCACAATCGCACGTATTCTCGTATTGAGCTTGGGCCACCTGAGGTTAAAACCATTTCAGCTGCCGAGGGAGTTTTTACTACGATAGCGCTTTTTAACTCGTGGGTACGCGCGAGCGAACCACGAGTTATTGCAGGGACAGGGTTATGCAAATGAGTCACTCGCTCTTTCGCAGTAGACGCACTTCGTAAACAATCGGGTCCGAACTTAAGAGCGCGAAGATCTATCGTTTCCAAAGAAGCACGCGCTCGCCGAAGTTCGGTGGCATCAAATTCCTCGCTGAGAGCGTGCATCTTGCGCTACAACACGGTTAGAGGAAATTTAAGACACGCAGGAATCTTTCAGATTAGTACGATTCAAGAGCCTTTGACTCGTCCAGGCGTTAAACTTGACGAGAAGATGAGCAACTTCGACGCTGGCTTGATCTTCTTCCTTGTTGTTGGTTATGTGTATGAATGAATGTATGGTAAATAAAGACACTTCTTCTTCTTCTTCTTCTTCTTCCTCTTAAGTACTGCGCAAGGTCACGGGGGGAAATGGATGTGATTTTGAGCATTAGCTTTAAAATAACAGCGGAAATCGAGATAAGAAAACATAAGCTTATGTTTTGCGTCCTCCTTCTCGGAGGAGTTGTGTCGGCTTTGTATCGCATATGTTCTTTCATTGCCATGAAATGCGTTTACATTGTGTTTTACTGTCAGTAGCCTGGTGTCAATTAGCCTTAATTTCATCCGATTGCTTCGAGTCGTTTTTTCAATCAGTTAAGTATGGCTCTATCGTTTGCCGGCGGAAGTTCCATGGAAAACGCATTAAATTTGAGACTTTTCACCAGATTCATGAGATCATCCTCAATGGCGTAGTGGCTGTGTGAGGTCGGGTCAACTTGTGGGCAACGGGTTCAAATCCTGCTAACAACCCTCTTTTTCCCTTCTTCCTTTTTTTTTTTTTTTTTTTTTTTGTTTTGTTTTGCTTGCTTTTTCGTTGTGCTGTTTTTTTTTTTTTTTTTTAAATATATACCTAAATAACTGTTAATAAAGTGCAATGAACAGCAAGAAAAGTATTGTGTTTCCAGAACAAGGATAGTATATCTATAATCTGAATTTCTATCATTTCCTAAAATTTACTGTGGGAAAACCAGAGGTGATAACTAATTGTTCATTTTCTAAACAACGCGCCCACGAGTTGACGATAGTCTTTCTTTGATTCAAGTTCACTTACACCCCTCATTCCCAGTGACGGATCCAGGGGAGGGTC